CTCCTGTTCTTCCCCCAACCAAGCCAAGGGCCTGCACAAGAGCAGCCAAACGAAGAGGAGAAGGCATGGCAAGGCCCTGAGTGAAGAAGCTCTGAAGGGTCAGGAGAGGCCTGGCCGGGGTAGTGCAGGGAGGAGGGGTAGTAGTGAAGCTGAGGCTCATGCACCTACATCATCAGCCAGCTCTGTGTACCCCTCTAAGCCCAGCCCACTCACATCTCCCTCCAAGTCCGGCCTTCAGGAGCTGCCCCCAAACCTGCATCTCTCCTGGCCTTCTCCATCCAGCATGTCGTTCAAACCACAGCCCCAGGAGTCATCCTGGGCTCTCCCCATCGCCGCACTCAGGCCCAGGGAATCAGCCAGGTCTGCTGGCTCCACCTGCACCCTGGGGTGAGCTGCTCCTTACACCTAACTGGCCTCCTCCCTCCCCTCCTGCTCCTGCTCCCATCCAGTCTCGCTCAGCGGCCAAAACGCAAGCGATCAAACAGCTGGCATCCTCAAACCCTCCCGAGGCTATCCACCAACCTAGTAAAGCAGCCAAACTCACGGCAGGGTTTTCCTGGCCCTGCAGGATCTGGTCCCCAGCACGTCTCCCCCTCATCTGTGTTTCTCTCCTGTTCCCTCGGCTCCAACTGCGACCGGGCCAAGCTCCTTTCTCTCTCGGGGCTCTTGGACTTGAGGGTCTCTGCCGGTCTTCCTTACAACGCCCGCTTCTCATCGCAAACATCTGCGCCCCAGACAGGCCCACTCCTGCTCGGTCCAGCTAAACGCGGCCCCTCGGTCTCCACCGTCGACCGCGCAGCGTGTTACAGTCCACTTCAGAGAACACGTCGCCGCCCGCAGGTGTCGCTTTTCCCTTACTGCTACTCCCCGCCGGCCGCTGTCCTCCCCTGACCAGGCCCTGCCCGCCTCGCTCGCGCCGCAGGGCCCAGCCCCCGCCCGCCTCGCTCGCGCCGCAGCCTCTGCTCCACGGCAGCTGGCCCACGGCGCTCCACACACACTTCGCGCGCAGAGGGCTGCCTGTGCCCGCGGGCCCGCCCCCCCCGGCCCCCCCGCGCCCCCCGGGATTTT